GATCGGGCGTCAAAGGATTTTCTGAGCTCCCTGAACAAAATCTTGTATCCTACTGGGCCGTCACAAGCCGCGTCCATAGACCCAGATCTTACATCCTTTGCCGTCGAGGTTTACAGCGCTCGAGACTCGGAGCCGCTGTTTGCGCACTACCATACTGCGACCACAGCGCGCAACAATACGGTCGGAGTGAACGAGGTTGATAGGGATACAGTCTTTCGGATTGGAAGTATCTCCAAGTTGTGGACGGTCCTTCTTCTCCTACTCGAAACAGGCGACGCGCTGTTCAATGAGCCAGTCACGAAGTACATTCCAGAGTTGCGGGCCGCCATGACAAGCCGCGACGAGATTGACCATGTCCAATGGGACGAGGTGACTATTGGAACACTTGCGAGCCAGATGGCGGGCGTGGAGAGATCATGTTAGTTAGGCTCCACCTTGACATTGCACGTTCTGTTCTAACGGCGGTCCCTAGATGGCCTGGGCGATCTGTGTACCAGCACCGATCCCATGCTGGGGCTTGGGTTTCCTCAAGTACCGGATTCTGATGTCCCAGTGTGTGGGCTTCAGCCGGCGTGTTCAAGATCTCGTGAGTCTCTGCCTCGGATCCATGGCGCACTCTAACCAGACAGTAGAATACTTTGCGGGATTGTTGAGCAGGCATCCGATTGTTCCTGTTTCATCAACTCCCGCATACTCAAACGATGCATACCAGTTACTTGGATACGTCTTGGAATCGATAACTGGAAAGCCCGTCGACGAACTCTTGGAGGGGCGCTTGATAAACCCACTCGGCCTAACTCACTCGTATTATAGCCCACCCGCCGACCACACGGGAGGAATTATACCCGGCTCAATAGCCGCAAGTGCATGGGACCTGGATCTCGACGACCTCACCCCGTAAGTGCCCAATATCGCACTGTTACAGGAAACTAACAGAAAAGTGCGGGCGGGATGTACTCTTCTGCGGGAGACTTATCAACAATCGGCCGAGCGATTCTGAATCATGAACTATTACCACCAGCCCAGACTCGAAGGTGGATGAAACCAGTGGCATACGCTACCGAGCCAAACTTTGCCGTGGGAGCTCCATGGGAAATCGTCTCCCTGACTGAACCCCGGTTGATCAGCTTATACACAAAAAGTGGCGACCTGGGAGGTTACTCGGCGCTGGTGGGACTATCTCCAGACCATGGAGTCGGCTTCACCATTCTCGTTGCGGGAGGGAGCACCAATCCAGCGGCGCAGACACTGGGTGATCTGGTCTCGACAACCCTCATCTCTAGTCTCGAGGGGGTCGCAAAGGAGGAGGCCAAGCGTCGATTCGCTGGAACATATACCTCCGCTGACGGGAACTCGTCCATTACAATAAGAACGGACCACAACCTGGGACTGAGGGTCACGCAGTGGACGAATAACGGAAAGGACATGTTTGACGCACTCCGAACGCTACAGCCATGGATTCCTGCCGGAAAAGTTGATCTTCGATTGTACCCAACTGGGCTGGAGAGTCCTGGGAAAATCTCGTTCCGCAGCGCAGTGACCAAAGGGTCTCCAAGTGGTCCTGGGATGGGACCTTTTACAAAGCAATGTAAAGCATGGATGCAGGTAGATGGCCTGGTGTACGGGAGTGTTGGGCTAGACGAGTTTGTATTCCATGTTGGGGACGATGCAGCTGCAACCAGCGTGTCGCCACGTGCGTTGCGTGTCTCATTACATCGGGTCGGCCACTAAGTGTCATGTAGCTAGAACGTCAGCATATATGCTCGGAAAGGTATCCGTCATCGATAAGAAAACAGGGAATCTATTACAGTAGCACATAAGATGATGTGAATGGGAATGTATATATGGGCTATGGATTTGACGGCGTTTGAGCAGTCAAGTGATCAAACACACACTCAGTTACTCTGTCAGGGTCAGTGTGAGTGAGGTGTACAGTGGCTTAGTTGTTTTCATCCTCAATTTCAATATACGTCCTCTTTATTGGGGTAATTGCTGCCGGGACCGCGGCGATTAAACGACCTGCAGTTGCTCTGATGGGTGGTACCTGGTTCAAAGAAATAGGATTCAGGGCGTTCGACATGGATTCCGTGCTCTGAAAGGTGAGTTCGAGCTCAGGGGAGGTCCTAGTTCCTGAAAGCGGAAGAGATTCCGAAAAACCTCCTCTCCGATGACTTCACAGATCCCGCTCTTTTTCTCAAGAGACTGTAAAAGAGATTTGATGTTGCGACATCTCCATTTCCAGGTTTGCACTGCGGAATTATAGCCCCATGAAGTTTTCGTTACCCGTAGAGTGTAGGGTGACCCCGAGCGGATCGTTTCATGGCGACAATTGCTGTCTAGTTTTTGAGACTAAATGGCTTGACTCTTTGGCGTCCCCTAGGTACTGATCTGCAAGACTCCATTCCCCAAGCTTACAAGCAACCCCCGCGGCATGAGAGCGGACTTTGCTATTCAAATGATGAGATTCGAGTATGAGGCGATATAGGTCAATTAATTGGCTGCGAAGGACCTCGTCACCCGGTCGTCTGGATGTCAAAAATGCAGAACCCAAGTCCTGCAGAAACGGCCCACACGCCAAATCTGCATGCCTTGCTGCATGAAGCATCATTGAATTGTAGAAGGCATCGGGTACCAAATCCGCGACAGTTCGACGCATAATACGAGTCGTGTAGGTGCCGGAAGAGTCATGCGCAAGGCACCTTTCGTCAAAGGTCTCGTTGCCGGAAATGTCAGTCAGAGCGAAAGAATCATTGGTTTCATAATTGTCCATCACAAACTGGCCGCTGGGTGCGTGTACATCTTTGAGGTGAGAAACAATACTACCACCCCCCATCTCGGTCATCTCGTGGCCGGTTCTTGGGCAAGTCAACTCTCTTCCATGGATGCGACCTGTTTCCAGTATTTGCAAATTGGCAATCAGCAGGCGACAACTGCTTGCTTTGCATGCCTTTTCAATTTCTGAAATCGCGGAGCCGTCAGCATCGGAGAATTTACGGGAAGAAAGGTCGTGCGCGCTATATCGGCCGGTCAGCCGATACATCTGGAGAGTGGGAGGCAAGGGTGTGCTAGGGCCCTGCGGTACCACATGGCGTGTGGAAGCTGCGCCGCGTGGAAGGAAGTCGCCAATTTGTTGCACGTTTGTGCCCACGAAGTAAGGCAATCCCAGAGTCGGCTGGCTCGAACGTCACGCTCAGCCAATACTTTGGCAGCACGTAGATGTAAAAGGGTATAAACCAGAGCCAAACGGTAGCCAGCCGTTACTGCTCGCGGCTCAATCTGTGCGCCTGTCTACCAAGCAGCCCATGAAAACCCATAGGTTGATTCAATCGAAGTCTGAAACGTTTTTGTTTCGCCATGGGTGACTACGATATCCCTTCCTTGATGTTTTGAAGGCAGACAGATCATCAGCGTCCCAAGGTGGCCATCTTCCATCACTGGGTCTGCTAGTAGCACGCAAGTTGCACCTGGTTTGTAGGGCAACAGCTTAGAGAACTTGGCATCAAGTGGCACTTTGACAGTCTGTTCCTGGATATGGTATTCTTTGACGACTTGCCGCAGAAACGCTTTGATCGTGCCATCTGTAATTGAGCAGTGAAACCACTTCGGCCTCCAGCTCCAGGGTTTCTTGGAAAGGGAAATAGATTGAATCTTTCAACCGCCCTTTGGCTACCTGGCGGGCCAGACACATCCTCGCAATACTTTCTGCAATTTCCGAAGCCAGCGGCAGGTTAATATGTCCAACCTCGCGAATCTAGAGCCCAGGGTTGACTGCAGCGTCAAGCAAAGACTCGTAAAAGATGGCCCGGTGGGTTGAATCTCTTCCAAGCTTTCGAACAGGTTCGCTTTCCGGGTTTCAACTGAGTGACCAACACCTGCCATTGTCAGTAGGACCAACAACCACCGTGGAGCTGGACACACTTACCAAGTCCTCATCCTATTACGGGCGAATGATGCAGCGGAGGAACGTTCAAACGATTGCTTGTAGGAAACACAGGAGACGGTCCGCGTGTAGGTAGCGGGGGGGTTCGTATCTTGAATCGAGCAAGGTTCAAAGACAGCCTTGGAAACATTTGGCCAGCTGGCGCAGATGTATTTTAGGCGGAAAAAGGCAAGTGGAAGACGGGACCTCAACGGATCTCGACAGGACGGGACAGAAAACAAAAAGTGCGTAAGTGGTGACCTAGGCACTTCCGGAATTACCCTAAAACAGCTGACCGAGGTTGGGGACTGTGAACTTGAACCCACAAACTTGAGCTTGCCTAGCTAGATTCATAAGGTATATTATGTATTATAAAGTTATATGTCAATCACGGTCTGAACCAGCTGTATGCACTTGCAGCTGTTTAATAAGTCCATGAATAGGAGCCCAAGTCCAGGGAGTCCCAAAGTCATGCAAAACGCCTACATAGTTGCCGGGACGTTGTAGTACTAAGAACTGCGTCAATCCCTCCTAATCATCCACTGTCCGGTAAACACTTTCTTAAGCGCCAGACAATTTTTGCCCAGTTGTCCATGGACGTTTCTGTACTCTTGACACACTGCGGACCACCGAAACCTGCAAAACGTGATAGGTCACGCCAACCTAAGGAATCCTGTATTGCAAGCAGCCCGAGACAAGCGAAAGTACTGAAGCTCAACCCTTCCAGAGTGCGACCTGCCCACCCGTCATGAATGACTTCCAGGGTTTGCCTCGGTAAATGCATAGTGGGGAAAAAAAACCACAAGTATGACCCGTACGCCCTATATCTGATACGAATGCATCTTATATCATTGGAGCTGATGAAACCTGACATAAGTTGCAGCTACCTAGATGGACAACCTCTGCAGTGGTGGAGATGAGGAGACGGCGGGAGTCGTACTATCCGTGATACGACCCTGCCTTGCCCCACATGGTGTTACCCAGGTAATCGGGATTGCGAAGCTTATTCAATGCCAAGATATCTCCCCAACCACGTGATATTCATTTTGACGATATTCTCAAAAAATTAACTGCGCATGCGCGACCACGACGGGACTCGAACCCGCAATCTTTTCTTCCCTTCCCAGAGGCAATGGACAGTTACTGACACATCGCTGAGACTCATAGTAGGAGAGAAACGCCTTACCATTAGGCCACGCGGCCCCCGTTGTTCTCTAACTTTGCCTTTGATATCTATGAGATACTGGCATTGTAAAACTATATAAACTGCCCCACATAAGCACAGGTGGGGCAGGTCATGGACCAGTGAATTCTACATGACTATTCACTATATTCACTATATTCACTTTAGGGTTTATTCACTTTATTCACTTTAGGGTTTTTCTCATTTCATTTTGTTTTTGTTATTTTATATTGCTCTGGCCCTGATTACCTGAGCTTGATGGCCGAGCAACCAGCGAGCCGAAGTGTCAAACCTAAAGCTCAGGATATCTCCAGGAAGAGTATAAGGGCATGCCAGTGTTGGAAAGTGTTGCTGACCCCCGGCCCTGCCTTTGTAAGTTCTTTAATGCAATGACTATCATCATAAGTAATAATCCATACTAACCTATAAAGAATGAGTCCACAGGGATGAATGACTCAAATTTTTGGAGTATTTTCTACTGTACTCGGACTTGTCTGACAGCATCACACAATAATGACATTGCACTCTGCCACCTACCATGCCTCTTGACCAAAATCTCGAACAAGCGGACTTGCACTCCACCCTGATGTTTAATTTAACTGTTACAACTTTGCCACAGAGGTCGAAGTATTCTCCGGAGGCAGCCTGGAGGCTTGTCTGGAACACTAAATCGGGTTTGAAATATGGCCTACTATACCCGTAATGGCTGCAATACAATTTTTTACAACGATTGCATAGACTTATGGCGTCCACGGTCAGAGTTAACCGATGATCTTGGAAGACTTTGATTCAGGCGATGAGCACCATCTTTAGAGTAGTAATTTTGTTGTCCTGCAAAGTACTGTGACAGTATCAACCGAATCGCTTTAGATAAATCTAAACGAATAGATGAAAAGAATTCTGATTATCGAAGACTATCGAATTCGAATAAGGTACCTGCTAGGTAGGACGGGAAGAATAGCGATGAAGTGGTTGCAAAACTTCTTTGGGGGGGGTGCTAAAATGTATGAAATGTATGAAATAAAATAAAATAAAATAAAAATCAGATCTGTTGGGTTTGGTGAGATTCATTCTCTGGGTGGAGTGACAGATATATAAATTCATCACTTTAATGGACTCTTCCAACATCATTAGAACAACAATAAAATTTTCTGTATATATAAATTATTCTGCATATTCTCTGGACATAATTTGTATAATAAAGATTAATTGAAAACAAAATACCACCGATATCCCTGTATCGGTGTCTCGAACTAACCCCGCTCAGCAGCATAAGGTAGAGTTGTTCGACGACCCTGGACCTCCTAGAGCGCATGGGATCCTCTTCGCCATTCCTCGATGAACGAATCCTGGCTCCGTAAGGACAATCTCTAAATAATAGCCTGGGCAAAGAGGTCTCGTGTTGCTGTAACAGGTTCATAAGCTTTGTGGTATTGTCCGAGGGAGGGTAATAAACAAATGGGCTTGGAATAAACGGTCCTGTGCGGGAACTGCGATCTGGTATGGCATATCGCAGGGGTGCATACACTCTGCCGTGTACGCGGACAGTGGCTGTCTATTATTGTTTAAAACGGGGTTTCCAGGATTGGCTTGCAGATTGAAGTGCGGTACGGATTGATGGGAACGGGATGGGGGTCTGACTGTCTCCCAGGCTCGTTGAATGTCCAACTGGCTTGCCGAGATTGGGGCCTGACACGAAAATGATAGATCCTGTAAGTGTCCACGGTGTTGAGACTGCGTTCAGCTGACACGGCTGCTTCTCCTTCGCGAGTATTTGCGTATCCATAATTCGGTGTCCGCTCGTAATTCAGGAAGAGAAGGTTTTCAGAAGAAGCAAGAAAAAGAAATAACCACACTAGCTGGAGGTTCCTAGGATATAATGGCCGTGCCAGAATCCGCTACAAACCATAGCTGGTGAAGAGAAGCAGTGGCCTGAAAATGCATAAATTTGGTAGCTAGAGTAGTGGGTATAAAAGTGCCTTGCATGTCCATGGTAAACTCGCTGTAAACCAAGCATAATAACCAACAGTACCGCAAACGCCGTGAGAAAGACGAAGTCCAACAGCAGAATAGCAGTCTCATAAAAAGGCCGTTGACTTGGAACTAGGAAAGCCTAGCCACCATCTCGATAAGGTAATGAAGAACTTGCGATCGGGTTGACCGATGTCAAAATTCTGGGTTGTCCGTATAACAAGGTTCTCGCCGTCAAAGAATGCCTCGAGGACGCGCAAATGGTGCATCCCGACGATCGAAAACAACAAGACCTGTCCATGGCATTAGCTTTAGTCGTGACATGTTGGATCTTCGCACAGTGTCTTACCGGGGTGACAACACTCGGACGACTGTTTGGTAGTCTAAGCCGCTGGTGCATGAGACGGGCGATTACATGGACCTCTGGACGGAGCAGTTGATCGTCCCCAACAAGGCCGCTATGCATCAGAACCACAGTGTGAGGCGCTCCAATATCCGTCATATTCCATACCGCTTGTACTTGATACTCGCAATTCTCGTTCAAATCGTACACGTTCCCCCAGTCAAGGTCCCCGAAGCTAGGAAAATGAAATGAGATGAAATTCCTAGAACAAGGAGAAGGGCAGCTCACTTAGCCCTCCCAGTGCCGGTGGGAGAAGAATCTTCGTCTGGAAGGATGCAGTAATTGAAGTACTGGTTCAGATACCACGCCAGGTTTTGTCCATTGCGATTAGCGGACTCGTCAAATTGGGGGTAATAGCCGGCAATCGTGTCAATTTCCGGCTCCTCGATCGCGGAAGAATACGGCTGGAAGTAAACGGGGCCCAGGCTTCCAGGACTGTCGTCAAGCGTCATTGGGAGGTGTTGGATATGGAGCTTGAGTAGGTCGGTAACTGAGAGACGAGGGCCAAACCGGTGCAGAGATAGAAGAATGTCCCGGATTTTGATGCGGCGACATTTTCTTTCCTGCTTTATGCTGGGATCCATAACTTGAACGACCGACTGCATCTGCAAAGTAGAGTATTCGGTCGGAGGACAGAAAGGTTGTAGAAGAAAAAGGACGAGTGGGATCAACAGATCCTACGGTGCTTATTTTGATGACATGACTTTGTCGGTTTCCCCGCAACAGATCGAACCCACAGGGCAACAGCCTTACAGTTCCAAGTTTAGGGTCCTTAGATGCTTGGCTTGCATTCACTCCACTCTGCCCTTAAGCGCCAACCATCACGCTTTGGAGATTGGGAAAAGGGAGTTCATGGGGTGGATTCTCTTGGCAGCATTTCAGATACTACAATTATTATTGGGTAACTGTTCAACCGCTCGAGGTGTCACCCGAATAAGCCCCAGAGTTGACTTATTGCTGCTAACCAGAAGCAGTAGTGTAACACCAACACTAAACATCACAAAACATTCACTAGGATTCTTAGATACCCCTCTCCACGTTCCGTCCCCCGCTCCCTCTAGGTCAGACATATAAGTTCTGGGCTCCAACCTTGCCTTCAACACCAACTCAACAAAGTTCATGGGCCAACGATTCCCACCATGCCGAGAAGCAACAAACCGAGTCTCCTGCCACCGAATCCCACCGAATGGCGCACGCGTGCGGAGAAGATCGGGGTGCTAGGAAAGTCAATCCATGCCGCAGAGCTCAAGTCAGCGTCTAAGATGACTGAACGACAGTACCTGTTGCTCCAGGTCCTATGGAAGACTATCAACGCGGATCAGTTTAACTGGGAATACTTTGAGCTGAAGCCATGGGAAAATGAGGCGGAGAAACTCCTCCAGGCATACCCCTGCTGGAGAAAATACTGCGAATCGTTAGCGCAGGGTCCACGCGCAGCCGTCTGTACGTCGACTTTTGCCGTCCCTCAAGAGCTCCAGCGACACGCAGCAGTCACTGACAGCCCCATGTCAGCCAGCATTTGTTTACACCCATGAAACACCATACGAGATCTTTCACAGCCCGGCTCGCCAACTTGAGACTTGGTGACACTCCATCAAAGTCAACTGGAACTGTTCCGACCTACCCAGATGACGACGACGATGAAGAAGGGGACGGAAGTCGAACAGGCGAGGAATCTCCAGGGCCGCCGGAAATCTGGAAGCAGATGTTTCCCTAGACCGAGAACGAGCAGATTGTTAATTCAGCCATGATCACTTTTCTTATGGCGCTTACACTTCATTCCGGATTGGGGAATAAATGGAGTATCCATCGTTGTCAGCTTAAAGCTGAGTTTCCCAGTGCTTTTTTTGAAGCTCGCACGGACGGTTACTTAGTGGACAAATGGTGCAAGAAGAAGATCAGGGCGCTTATTGAGGTTAAAGCAGTGCGCAGGTCAGAAAGCATCGCTATGTCCGTCAGAATGGAGGAGGCAGCGCAAATGGTGGCCTGGATAAAGCAGCATCCAGACCACAACGGATTTCTGAATCGCCGTGGAAGGTGAGAGAGATTTCCAAGCTTCGGTTTCTTTAATCCTCGTGGCTAATGCTCAGCTGTATCCAGATGCTTTCACGTCTCTCAGGACCGACACCAAATCTTCATCATCATGGCCGAGTATGATGAAAACTATATGGGCTTTATTGACGACAGAATCCCTCCTGATGCCGGGGAGAATAGTCCTGGCGCGTTCATGACAACGCATGAATACGGTCCCTGGAACACAACCGACCCGTCACATATGAGGAAGGTTGCCCGAATCCTTGTTGCCATGGCTTTACGCGCGGAAGCTGACCGCGTTGCTGAGGAGGCCTCTGAATCCGAGTAATGATCCCCTACCGACCGAAGACGGACTTTGGTAGGCCCTTGGGGTATGATATCTCACCCTCAGTTACGGAGAGGAACGCCTTTCGGGCTAACTGGGGGCCAGAGCCCGGGGAACGAGGATGGCGGAACGCACACGAATGCAATATCTCCATCACTTACAAGGACCTGGCCTTGGCCAAATGGTCACACTTAACTGCACCAATTCGTTCCGGACCCTACTATTCAGTGGGTGCTGCCGCGACTTGCAACCATCAATCTCATTCAGTGTACCCATGTGCAGTATTG